TTCAACAGATAATTAAGGTAAAATTACTGAAATGAGTGCTTCAAAGCATAATTAGCGACGATGACAAAATTTTCACCTATTAATTTTTGTAAGCCATGACAATATAGTATTTTGTGTACAAAATATGCTGTATACTAGTACACAAAATGTTAATAGGTAAAAACTGCATTTTATCGATTAATTTTGCATTGTAGCATGCCCTTTCTAGCAAATTTTCCCTCAATCAAAAGTTGTTTGTTGTTAACTTGTATTAAATGTTATTGTGAGAGACAAAATACTCCGATGAGCCGAGATAGGTTTGTTTGGATAGAGGATTATTTGCCAAAATTTATTTGCTTACATCATCATTACAATTTCCAGCACACCTTTTTATCTTCCAAATTACCTTTTTATCTCACATACATTACATCACAAAAAGTGCTATAGTAAAAATATCTCAAATAATTTACAATACAAACAGGGTTGAGGGCCTTCAGCCTCCAAGAACTAAAGGTCTTCAGTTCAATTTCCACCTTTCATGTTTTCATTTCTTAAATCCCATCATTCCCTTACTATAAGAAAAAAAAATAAAAAGAAATGCTCCAAATGGGATTAAAGTTGAATTTCACATACTCAGATGGAGGGTTTTAGACAATCTATCGTATCATAGATTGAGCTGCCTCCAATTTGCTTTTTCTTCTTATGAAATCTTTGCTAATTTATTGACAAAAGTGGCTCAAACATAATTCTTAAATAAATAGTATCTATTTTCATCTACTTGGCTAAGAATATTTTGTCTAACGCGCAAGAAGGAAAGCGCGTTTTCAACAATGATTGCGGAGAAATCAGCGCTTTTATGCGCCTAATTATGAAAAGTACATTGATTCCCTTGCGCAACTGTTTGATTTCTTTGTTCTTTTGATGCAATGAAAGGAGTACCAATGTACTGGTACAAGTACCCAAAAAAAAAAAATTCTTTGCGGAGATTTTATCTATTCGCTTCATCCCATTTTGATAGTCTTGTTTTCTTTTTTCATCTATCTCAAATTATAGTTTACCTTCCAATTGAAAAATATAATTGACTTTTAACTTCTCTAAAATACCCAAATTTAATATAATAAGTATAGTCTACATCATTTAATATACTAGTTAACTTTTTCACTAATAATTGCTTTGATATATGTTTTGAATGGTGCAATATACAATTATTATAACTGTTGTAATTTATGTAAAGGTGTAGTGATTAGTGATACTCCTAACATTAATGTAAGGATATTTTAGAAAAACATTATACTAGATTTTATTTTTCCAACAAAATAAACTAATTTTTTTTAACTATACGAGAAAAAAACCAAAATTATCAAAGTGGGTCTGAGGAGTATTATAAAACGGAACATATACCAACAAAATCTTGACGAGAATTTCAGCCATATTACAAAATGGAAGTATTATAAAGCATGTTTAAGGCTCTATTGTGTCTAAACCTTTTCTTTAATCAATGTCCTTACAATTGATCATTTTAAGATTCGTGTATGATGGCAAATTTCAGTCATAGCATTTGGACAACTGTGTTCTATGAATAGGATTCTTGTAATATGGACCCAACTGTGCACCTAATTTACACGTAATTTATCATTTAAATGCATATATTCACATTAATTATCTCATTGCATATCCCCTCTTAGGGATGGGGCGGGGGACCCCTCCCCCATCCCCTGCCCCGCTACCTACAAACTCCTCCCACCCCCGCCCCATCCCCCGTCCCCCGTCCCCCGCCCCGTCCCGCTTCCCCCGCGGGTGTTCGCGCGGGGCTAATAAAAATTTGTTATATAATTTTATTATTGTTAAATTTTAGCAAATAATCAAGTACTAAAATATCAACACATCATCAAATTATTATTCATTGTAAATTTTACAATTGAAACTTATAAAAACAATCAAATAAAAATTATTTGAATACAATTCAACATGATGAAATAAATATAACTAAAGTAGTCAAGTTTACACTTTTGGCACAAATACAATCACTAATTCATTATTGTGCTTGTGCTTTTTTAAAGAAAAAAATGTTATTGTATTAAGTGTAATTAGGGATTTAGTATAAATATATTAGTAAATTTAATATAACCAATTAATAATTTGTATTAGTACACATATATAATTATTAGTATAATTAATAATATCAATTATATTATATATACTAATAGACATTATATAATACATATAACTAATAATATCATTATCATAAGTTTGTAACTAATTAAATTATATATTATTATATATATAATTATATACATATATATTATATATATTTATTTTTTTAAAGCGGGTAACGGGTAGCGGGGGTACACTCCCCCGTCCCCCGCCCCGTTTCTAAGCGGAGGGAATTCCCCCCCCCCTCCCCATTAGCCCCCCGCGGTCACCCACCCCCATTGCCATCCCTATACCCCTCTACTTTACCCTTCACAACTTCCCCAAATATTTAACAAAAAAAAAAAAATCTCCTTTACATTTAGATACTTTCTCGACTTAATTTCCAGTTGGATGCACGCCCCTTGTATGTTAGATCGATAAATCAAGATTGACTTTCATTTTTTGTAACAATTAAATGATATACTCCAAAAAGAAAATGATATATCATTTAATTCACGAACAATTGCTAAACTAGCTTCTAAGGCGAGCGCTAAAAACAGTCTCTTTTTTTGTTTTTGTCAAAACCAAAAGAAAAAAAAAAAGGGTTGCATTGAAAATATGATGAAACAGGCTTAAACCTACTTATTAAACCGTGTTTTTTAGTTTGAGGGGGCAGATGTATTTCATCCTCTATAATTAATTAAGAGAAATTGCTAGTTGTAGTTAAAAATTGATGGCTAGAATTGCGGATAGTCATGAAAAGAGATTAGGCAGTGGCAACTCAAGATGCAAAGCAATCATTGGATTGAGGATAAAAGAGCTGTCAATCAGCATCACATGTGCATGTGATTGAGGCATTGAGCTTACCACATTTTGTACAACTACAGAAATGGTCGGAGTTCAAGTTCGAAAGAACTCAAAAGAATAAATTAATCCAGCTTAGCTGTTTACCCCAACTCGGGAGGGTCGCGACGAAGGATCACGAGCCTCACAAGTTCCTGTTCAGTTCAGGCCAGTTGAGAGCAGGATGATCATTTTCTTTCACAAATTCCTGCTTATTTATATTATGTTAAGATTCGTTTACACCATACCTTTACTTTATTTACATCTTAGGGGTAAACTGATTTGAACTGGAATTTGTGAGGTCCTAATCCCATTATGAAGATTGCTACTTCCCCCGATGTATACGAGTTTTTCTTCCTACCATTGTATGAGTTTCTTGTTTTGTTTGAGTTAGTTGTATTTTTTATTAATTCTTTAGATGTAATTCAGTTGTATTCATCTCACTGGTTTCGATTGTAACGATTGTAATCTTACATTACATATATATATATATATATATATATATATATATATATATATATATATATAAAGTAAAAATGCTCTACATTGCATGGAGTTTTATTAGTTTATCAACTTTATTTATGAGTTCATTTTTATCAAGCCTAAGCACTCTTCCAAAGATATAATTGAAGAGGTCTAAGAATTGGATTTTTCTTGAAAAGGCATAAAAAAATGGATTTTTCTGGCTTATTGGGAATTTTTCTCCAAGAAGCATAAAAATTGGATGTTTCTAGTTACTATTCAATGAGTACTGCACGGCTATTACACTTGATTTACATTTAAATACCACAAAGTCACGTCCATTATTGTCCTTCGTTTTTTTTTTTTTATCAATTATCATCATTTACATCTCTCCTACTCCTACTCTAACATATTTAAAGGAGACGATCCAATAGAATCACGGATAACCAACGGAGACTGAACCCAATTATCATCATCATTATTGTCCTTTCGTTTGTCAATGTTTTTCTGATTTAACTTCACTTTTTCAAAAGAGTAACACCTAGGGTCTTTCTTAATTAGATTAACCCTTTGAAACAAATATTTTAGTTGGCTACATTTGTTTAGAGATGACACCGTAACAAGAAGGAAAAAAAGGAAATAGAAAGGTTCACTCATTGCACGACCTGAAAACTTGTGCTTCCATTTAATGGCAGACATGGCGAATAAAGATGTCTGGTCACAAAATTGGTCTAGCAAGAGTCAAGTACAAAAGTACCACTTGATGGAATTCTTAAGTGTTTCGATACCTAAAATTTTTAAATAATATTTTGTTTATATTATAAACATATTTTTAATTTATTTTTTATATTTTTTCAATCATTTTTTTATCTCACGTACATCACATCACAATAAAAATACTACTGTAATTATAACAAATAATATTTCAATTAATACTCTATCCAAACAAAACAAAGCTGGAAAATTTAGGTCCCATAGCTTCATATAAGCTGCTTGATCTGAATAGGGAACTAGGGTGCTTCCCAGGAACAACGTGACTAGTAGGTTTTCCAATTGGGGGCCAAACATCCAATGTGTGGCAAAAATGTTTTTTTCTTAAGGTTGAAGTCCCATATACTCAATAACAAAATAGTTGTTTAAGGTGAAAATCTATATTTGTAAATAAAAATTTCAGGTCTGGTGCATGCCATATTTTCAAATTTAGGGCAAGTATTCAATCAAAACCTATTTTAATACAAAAATTCATAATCCAGACAACAATTTTATAGTCCTTGGAGGGGCAAACTGAGATTTTTGGAATTCTTGGGATTGCAGGAAGGGGCACTGTGTTTCCGCCTGTGCTTCCCAGTAAGAGTGACAAATAATTGGATAAACCACCCTCAGACTTGTGATAACTGTAAATAACTCCCCTCTAGGTTTGCCAGAGTACACTTTGCCACCTTTGGTTGTATGAAATGACTATAATGCCCTCGCCGTACTTTCAAGGAAAATTATTTTCCTCTTCAGTATTTTTTTTTTATTGTCTTCTTTTTAATGCTTTAATAGAAAAGAGACAGCAAGAAGGTGATGCAAGAGGAAATGGAGAGAAGAAAAGCAAAGCTTTGTATAATATGATATACAAATACCCTTCCTCATTTCTGTTTCTGTTGGTCAACAAGTGCAACATGAACAGATAAAGAATAGAAGACTGGCAGACACAGAACAAAACTTAGCTATGTGCTGTGACTAGACCTTGCAACATTACATGAATCCACAAGAAGTTTTTGGAGTATCAAAGTTAGCTATGTGCCATGATTTCTTGATGATTTTGTCCTGTAATCTGAATATGCTGCTTGCATACAGACACTCTACAATCAGTCTGTTATTGCCAATCTACGTAAAACTAATGGGGTGCAGTTGATTTGGCCTGGCTTTTGCTGAAAAAACAAGAAATCCTGAAATTTGCATTCTGCTCTAGATCTAGACAACATCAACCGTGGCCTGATCAGGGTTTGCAAATTACTCTCTCCACCTGCAACCGCAAAAGCCCTTGACCCGGCAAAATTCTGCTGGAACTTGCCGACTTGGCACGTTCACCAGGCAATTTATCTCCTTGCTAATGCCGGGGAATTTTCAAGACTAACTTCTGTTGCAATAGTTAATGCTAGCATGTTAATGGTATGCAAGATAACAACCCCATATCCAGCTATACAGTCGTATCGGGTCAATGATAATTGCACGCTCAAATTCTCAGGATGGTTGAAAGATGAGGCAATGTCACAAACATTACTCAGAAAATGCAAAATGAAGGATGAAAGCTTTATACCAGCATGAAGCATCCTAGTGCAATGACAAGACAATCTTCAAGCTCTCTGCTGCAGCAACACAGGGACAACAATTGAATAACCCTAGAAAGCACAATGATCAATGGACAAAAGTACGTGCTTAAAGATGACGGCTACTATAGTATTAGAAGGAAGCAAATGAGCTTACAAAATCTGCATTATTGCAAAGTTCATGATTTACCAGTTGAGGCAAGTGAGATTAGCAGTAATCTAGAACAGCACCATTCTGTCCATTTATTGGATAAAACATATCCCTAGATGAATAAGACAAGGCTTCGACACTGAAATCAAAATCGACCACAGCACTTTTAAAAGATATGATGGGACATTATGCAAACCCTGACAGCCTTCTTACCTTTCTAGACGCGTCTGTATATCTAAGGTTGGGGAGAAGATGTGAATTGACAGGCAGAGTGCATGAATGAAGGAAATTTTGAATATAAATACCAAGTTTTTCACCTTGGTTGTGGTTCTCGATTGACTCAACAGCCATCAATGGAGCATCGAACTTCCTCAGGACTGCACTGTACGTATGAATATGACTATATGTATGAAATACCAATGAACATTAACATATCAATACTTTGACATCAATAGAGATAAACTCCAATTGTAAAAATATAATACTGCTTTCCAAACACTCCTCCTGTCAAAAGCTAAGTACCTCCTTTTACTAAATCTAAGAGTCCAGAAGTGGCATGTGAGCAAGACCAATAAGGTGTTGATTGTTAACTGGCGAGCGTTGTCTCACCTATTAGAAAAGCTATACCAAGCTCCATGATCATCATACCCTTTTGTTAGATTTAAACAATTGCAGAACTTTACAATCACCTTTGATCTGTTGAAGTCTAGTCAATATACGAGTCTAATCAACTTTTTTGCAAAGGCACAAAATGTAATAAACGAATCAAAGTAATGAAATGGAATGTTAACAGCAACTATTAGATATACCTTATAACAAAAGAACCGGGCAGAAAACACTTTTTTGTCATTAAAGGAAAGTACGATATGCAGTGATTACCTTTTTCATAAAGCGTTTCAAAAAGATCTTATCTTATTTACGTACTCATATACTGAAACTTATCAGATCATAGATTAATAAAGTTTGCCAATTCTTTCCACGAATGCCTTCTTCCTACTAATCCACACGTAAACCTTCACGCAAAAGAATATCCAGATATGGAGGACAAAGTATGACTCCATTTGACTCTAATAAAAGAGACTGTCACATCAAATATACACTGCAGTCTCCTAAAATTAATCTCTCAGAGTCTACCCTTCTACCAAATACACGATTTAATTAAGGATACAGTATGCAACATATAAACAGCCACAAAATGTAACTTTCACAGGGACAATTATAGCACATACAAGGTCTAATTTTTTGAGAAATAAACTGAATATCATTTTCAGCTTTGAAAATTCTCAATGATCTAAACTGAGTGTAACAAACAGAACATCTGAAACCTTTAGTAGTTCCTCTCCTTGACCATTTAGGAAGAAAGCTTTGTAAATCCAAATGAATCTAGGGACACATACCTTGAGAAAGAAGACTAATAAGTTCTATTTTTCATGGATTAAGATTCTTCAGAACTAAATTTCCACGAAGCAAACTGAATAACAGTTCAAGCCTTAAGCAGTTTCTCCTGTTTAACCTCAAGCCAGACTGCTTTATGTATTCAGGCATGGAGGCTTCTTACCTAACTAGCTCTCAGGGTATGCGTGGATGCAATTCTGAATAGAAGAAAAGGAGCTAATAACAAATCATATACATAGGAATCAACCAAATAATCCATGATAACATGCAAACTCAGTTAATTATAACAATCCCTTTGTTATGGATGTAACTCTTGAAATGATCAGAGGCAATTTCTTTAAAACATATAAAAGCCCTGCCTTGAAGGTAACAAGTTAATACATGAAATTCACATCAAGAAGTGCGTTTTCTTCACGTAACAGCACGGAACTGAAATTAGATAATTCATTCAGTTTCTGATTATTCACCTTGCAGGACACTTTTCACAAACTCCAAATTTAGTTTCCAGATAAATGAAAAGGCCAAAACCTCTGAAGAAATAGTCAAAAGTTGAATGATACTGTAAGTCTAAATGTGTCAATTACATAGAGCAATATGATGCCCCAAGACAGACAAAGGGTACTGAACCATATAATTGCCCAAAGGCAGGCATTCTCTTGTACAGATCCTTAAAATGTGTTACTTAATTGGCCCAAGGCAGACATTCTCTTCTACAGATCCTGAAAGAATGTTACTTGATTTGACACGATAACGTCTCTAATTCTCATTCGGCTTCCTAAAACCAAATAATTCCATAGAGTACATAATACTGAATCCATTTCCAAGCCCTGCAAAGCCAAAGCTAAATAAGCTCAGAAAGAACCTATCCTTCCATCTTCCTCCCACAGGTGTGATTGCATAAAAGTACCTAGTGATTTAAAAAATATCTACAGTACTGACAAATGAGGAAAAAATATGCATTTTGAGAAATATATGCCATAATTACACTACAGGTAAACACCTCAGTGCTTTTTCTTTTTAAATAAAATTAGCATTGGTGCAAAGGAAGAGAATAAAATATAAAGGTAAAAACTGCTATAGCAGCATCTGCATCAATTTCTGGCCAAGCTTTGATCTGCCTACAGATTCTCTTATGCTTCCCAGAGAAATAGAAAAAGCAAGCAGTAAAAAGGCACTCGTAATAAGATCATGTGAACTGCAAACAATAAGCTTGTATAAACATAGGTCAGCTTTGCTTTTCCTCTCCAAAAGCATACACTCTTAGCTTTTAAATAGTGTTACCCCACATAGAAAAATATAAGTAAGCTTTATTCATGCATAAGGAAATCAGACACTGAGGATTTAAGACTGGCCATGTCGCAATAGCAGTAAATCCCAAAATAGTAGACTTTCAAAAAGGTCTATGTGCTGCCAAGCCTTGAAATCTCCAAGCAACATTGACACTGAGGATTTAAGGCTACATTTGCCCTAAATTGTTAAAATATGTGGAAGTAAGAGGGTTGAATTCATACCAACTCTAGAAAACATCTTTTCGCTCCTCCAATATACGTAGTGCAGTATGTCCCTCAGAGAAAATGAAGCAATAATTTGCTGGACCAAGTTTTACATGGACAATGCAAATACATCAAATCTTGACCCAACTAGCTTTTCAAGCTTCAAACTCAACCTTCCTGTATCATTACAGGTAAAGAATTCAAGCAAACGTCTCTTTTGGTTATCATAAAGAAAAAAGATCCACTATAATTCACAAATGGCTAACACCTATATCTAATATGATTACAGGTAAGTTGAAACTGCAAAGAGCCAGAGAGACATAGCTCATCAATACATGGCGCAATAAAAAGAGACAACACCATGCTCCAAACAAAAAAAGTTTTTGTACAAGCATCCTGGGAGCTAACTTTTGCACTGAAATTTCCCAAAGAAATAAAGATCAAATGACAGACATTTCAATTTTAAGAATTTACAAGGAATGACAAGAACGTTGTCTATCTCTTTTCTCATTTTTTTCTTGAACTTCTTAATGTACTAAATAAGCTATTAAACAAATGGAGAAATATAATCAAGTATAATATAAGCTCATAGTCAATAAAATCACAGCTCAGCGAGGGTCTTGTTAGCACTCAACCAAACCAAGAATGCAAAATCTTCTATTCATTCTTCCAAGCATACAATATCAAAGAGAAACCAAGATTATGTGACTGAGTATCTCGGAATCTCTGTGACCATGACCAATGTAATGTCTGTGGATCACAGAGAGGTTGGCTAGCCCATAACTTCTCAGGTGGCGCACAAGTCTTGAACATGAAAACTGCATTTCCAAGTGACGTAGCAAAGAGCCAGTTATGAACATCCCAAAATACTTCAATTCCAATCCCATCAACCAAAATGGTATGATTCCCTCGAAATTTCCAAGTCAGTCGCTTCACCTGCAATAATGGCTTAGTATCCACCCGGATAACAAGGCATGGATCGCTGATGCCAGTCGTATCACATTCAATCATGAGATCATGTACAGGGCCATTGTCACAAAACTGAGCCTTAGTCCCAAACATTTTTCTACCAAAAATGTGCTCTCTCTTTGCAATCAGAACAGAACCAGATGAAGCAGGGGTGGCACCTGTTTTCTTCAAAGCTTCTTTTCTCATGTCTCCTAGCAGTAAAATAATTTGTCTCTCACAAACAATCCCCAAATAGAAGCCCTCCAACGGCTCAGGCCCGGATCCAAATTTAGCTGAAGAAAGGTCCCAATACACATCAAGTTTACTAGAACTTGCTTCTAAGCTCTTCGACCCTTTCTTCTTAGAGAACAACCACGGTTTGATATCAACCTTACAAAGACTCTGATTCGTGTTATCATCAATCCCAACACTAAGGCCTTGACCCATCAAATTTTTACTCCAAGTAACAGTTATTGAGCAAGATTTACCGCGCAATCGACATTGATAAACAGAAGTTACTAAATTCTGAGCAGCTTTATTAGCAGTTGATGAAGATGACGATGAAAAATCTGCAACTTGAACCCCATTTTCCCCAAAACAAGAAGGAAAATCCTTCATAGCTTATACACCCAAAACAAGAAACTTCACTTCTTATCTGCTTAATAATGTCCCCTTCTCCTCCCCCTTGTTTATCCAAAGCAGTTCTTGGATGACTTCTACAAATTGTAAAAACAGGACACAAAATTTAAGTCTAAACTCGTAACTAGACAACATCATCTGAAGCCAAGAAAGTATATTCAGTTACATACCTTAGTTAATCAGAGAAAATAGCGAGAACCCATTTGAGAAAACAGTTCAAATCTACCAGAGAAGGCCAGATTTGATCTGGGCTGGGAGCAGTTCAGATGCATTCTGCTGCACAGAAAAACCCATGAATCCACAGTGGAGAGGAAAAAAAAGGAAGTCCTAGTACTAAGTATAAAATAAAAGGATGAGGAGGGTCCCTCTAAATCAAGAGACAAAATTGGGGAATGTAGACAGTAAAAAGATAAAGAATTTAGAAAGGGAGACTAGAGAAGGAGACAAAAAGTGAGACTCCTCATACTCATTTCACTGTCACTGGCTCTCCTGTACCAAAGAAGCTGAAAACCCCATATAAAAAATAACAGGTCTGGTCAATAAATTATGAGAAGAATGGAGAAGATGAGGTGGTGAAGGCCAAGGAAAAGAGCAAGATGACACCATGGTAGTGGTGGAAAGGCTGGAATTCGAACATCATTATTTACTCAGAAGAAAGCAGGAGGAAAAAGAATCTAGTCTTGTCTGTCTTTTTTTTGGTTTTTGTTTTTGTTCATCTCTTTCACTACTGTTTCTCTCTGTTTGTTTTTTAACTTTTTTTTCCCTCTTTTTCCTTTACCTGACATGGTCACATGTAATCTAGCACCTAAGTAAAGCAGTCTAATCATAAAAAAGTGTTGGTTAACAGAAACTGATTTCCACATTGCCTATTTGAAGAAAGAATTTTCAAGTTTGAAACTCATGTTAATTATTGATCATGATGGTCTAACTGTTAATTATGCAACAAAAAATTACTGGGGTAAAAGAAAATACTATGAAATATAAAATATGGAAGACAAAATCTAGGGCAAAAAATACACGGGAAAATCACGTTGTTACTATTTTTTTTTTTTAACTCGAAACATGTCTTGACCCAAGCTCTTTGGATCCGAGTCGGTACACCAAATCGGAGGGAAACGCCGCTGCCCCACACAATGTTTTTCAGGGTGAATCATAGGATGTTCCAGGGAACAGTTTCGATCCCAAGATCATTTGTGTCCCAAAGAACCGCTGCTACTACTGGACCAATCTCGTGGGGGCCTCTCACTATTATTTTAATAATATAGTTCTTATTTATTAGATTATATAATAAAACAAATCCTGATAGTGCAAATAATATTTTTCAATATATATATAGGGGTAGTTGGGTATAATTTTGTGTAACCTAGATTTTTGAGAATTATCTGTTGAAAATTGGCAGTTGAAAAATACTTATTAAGGATATATGGTTTTGGATTGATAGTAAGGTTTAGGGTTGCCTTTGGAAAGGTCAAATGGTTTTTGATTGATCGTAAAGTTTTGCATTTGAGCATTCGAAAGCTATTCGGACATTAGATTACGAGAAAAAAGAAAACAAATTGGGTTTTTTTTTTAACCTTATAAAATGGGTTTTGATTTTCATGAAAAGTGAAGGGTAAAATTTAATGTGGGGAAACTAATGGGAGCAAATAAAGGGCAAATGTTTGCTACTATTTAATTTGGCATATCCTTGCAAGAATTTAATTATTTGAAGGAAGTACAGGGCAAGGTTTAGACTAATAAAGGAAAACGGTTCTTGAGAGTTGGGAAGTTGCATTTAATATTAGGTCAAGGAATGCACACTACACCATTTGGATTCCTAATGCCGGCAGTGGTTGGTGGTGGCCTGCAAGTGGTGGTGGGACGGGGTAATGGTGGTCTGCCTCTGCCGGGCCTCAAAATACTCAGAATCTGCAGCAATCCCAGTTAATTAAGATCCTTGACCAGCTACAAATTACTATAGGTGCATTTAAAAATCAGATACAGCCAAGTGATTAAGAATATTTGTTTCCTGTCTTAGATTATATGTACATTACTCTCTCACATTCATGGTCTTTTATTTAAAAATGTAGAGGAGGGTTTTAAACGAGTTAAGTCAAATCAGTTGGGTTTTGGTCGATTGTAGAGCAGGATTCTAAATGAGTTGAGTCGACTCAGTTGAGTCAATTTTTGACCCAGTCGACTCGAATATATGGTGCTTGAATTTTAGTTCGGACTCGATTGGATACCTAAAATGACATCAAGTTTAAATTCGAATTAAGTTCCAACTCGATTAAGACTGAGTTTGTGCCAAATTGAGCTAAAATAAAATAAAATATTAATTATTAGTATGTCGACGAGCCTTTGAGTCTAGTATTTTTGGATTCAAATTTAACTCGAGCATCTTATTGAGTTTTTTGGTACCAACTCTAGCTCGATGAATGTCCAACGAAGTTGAGTCATTTGTTGAGCCAATTTGCGAGTTGACTCAATCTGCTTGTAGCCCTGATCTAGAGTTAAACAAATATATTAATCAGATAATTATGGAGGGTTTTTCCTCAACGATTTCTTACTTCTAAATCATGTAAGAAACCAAAGAGTGAAATATCCTTAAAGACTCTTTTTTCTGTGACTTTGTATTCTATGTGCCATGCATGAAAATAGGCAACTACAAATCTAGAATACCATCCATCTCTTTAGTTGTTAGCATAACAAAATTGTGACAACTATGTTATGTTCACTTCAACGATGACATAAACTATGTAAGGTCGTTTTCTTTAATTTTTTGGACAACTTTTGGATTCCAAACCACTATTTGATAAGTATTCTTGCTTAAGCAATCCCTAACAAATACTCCAGCCATTGCCAACCCATCATTAGCACCTTTGGACATAATAAAGAATATAGTTAAAGGTTGGTGGTTAAGAAGTTGGATTTGGGTGACCAACAACAATGGACTTAGATTTGATTATAAAGATTAGTTGGATCAGTACCTTGGACAAAAGGCATATTCAGCCTTTGTTTTTCAACTTTAATTATTACTATTTTTTTTTCTCTTCTCTCTTATCATCCCTTGGAATATTGCAGGCTATACTTGAGTAGTTGAGTGTGGTGTCATTATATGCTGGATCCACATGGTTTCCGCGTGCAGGACACGCTCTTTTCGTAGAAAAATGCTCGAAGGATAGAACAAATTGTCTGTAAAATTTTTCTCCCAATATAAATGGTCCCAACTCCCAAGGACTTGTCCACGCTGCTTTTTAGGGGTGGCAATCGGGCCGAGTTGGGGTTGGCGGGTCGGGTTGTGATCCGGGTATAACAGAAAATTCGTTGACCCGAACTAGACCCGTGCAATTCGAAACGGGTCAGGATACCTGACACGAACCCAAAAATTTCTGGTTGGCGGGTCGACTCGAAATGACCCGAAACTTAATTTTAATTTTTTAATTTATCACTGTAATTTCTAATAAAATCAATTTCTGACAAAATTAATTACATATCAAGTAATAAAAATTAAATAAATACTTTCAAACCAAATCTAAATTAAATTAAACACTGTAAAAGTGTTTTATTCCAAACCAAATATAAAATAAATTAAAACAGTATAAAAGTAAAAAAATAATATAATATATTACTTGTTCAAATATAATAATTTCAACTTCACACAAGTTAAATAAATTCATTTAGGATTAAGTAATTAATGCCTTTGAAAAAAAAGAATAACTTAGTTTAGTTAGATAAAATAATTTTTATGTTTATTAAATTATTTTTAATTCGTAAACGGGTCATATCAGGTCACCCACAGGTTGACCCGAAATCGACATGTTTTCTTTTCGGGTTCGACCCAATTCTGACCCGAACCCTCGAAATCTCAACCCAAATCCATTAATTTCGTGTTAGGTTCGTGTCGTATTTTTGGGTCGTGTCGAAAATTGCCACTCCTACTGCTTTTCCAGGGAGACAAGGGGAGCTTACATTTCATTATCAGGAGTGAATAGTCTGATGGGTTCTAAAATAGATCGAGTCTTTGCATGTTACTCATATTGCATGAGGAAAATTGATTGATTTGGAGCATTTTGATGCACTTAGGCAATGTGTTAAAAATTGCCCAAGAATGTCCCTCATATATATTTTGTGCGTCTCTGCATTAAAATTACTAATTTAACAATTGATTGTGTTTATTAGGCCAATTGGTAAAGAACAACTTGATTATCTAATTACTTACTGAAGTTTGAAATCTGAAATCTGAATATATTAAGTTATTGAATTGTTAAGTGTTAAATCAAATATATTTGAGTGTATATCACATTCAGTAATAACTGAATAGTTTATCACTTATTTTTTAGAGTAAGTTTTACCTAAAAAATTCAGTGCCACTTAATTAATTTAGATGTTCAATTTTTTGTTATCAAATGTGACTGAACATATTAAGATCTGAACCCCTTAAATTTAAGTGTTGAATTGGGTTATCAAACAAGGCCTAATTTTATGTATACTGACGGCATATATACTATCATCCATGACATGTGTGCAAAAGTTGGATCCATGACATGTGTACAAAAGTTAAATTTCAAATTTAAATTTTGTATAATTATCATTCATCCAATACTTGAGTACATACACTGTTAATGTAAGAAAGATTAATCCTTAATTTTGTTTATCTTCGGTAAGATGGTGTAAAGTCTATTTGGATGAGTGCAGTAGTGACTTTTCATTAACTTGGATGGTTGCCTTATGCTATTTACTTGAGTGCTAGTTATTATATTGACTACTATATGCTTCTTGACATTGTACGAATATTTGTCATGACTAAAGTACTGAAGTATTAATGCAACACATTTATGATGTATAGCTTTATATTTTAGCATAAACATTCATTTAAGCATTATAAAACAAAAGCCCTAAGCCCTCTAGTCGAGTTTGGGGTTTTCTACTATATATATTTTCATATTACACTATGTTATATAATTTCTCAAAGTAACAAGAATTTTTTTCAATACTCAAACTCCCTATTTTATTAGTTACTACAAAATTCCAGTGATTGGATTTCTATGTTTATTTATATAGGAAATAAAATATTCAAATTCAAATAAATAAATTTTGGATTGAATTACTATTCATCTATTGTATTTTCATGCAAATAGAAGGCAAGAATAGTCTATGGAAAGATGATGGTTTAATTTGATATTATTTAAGAAGGAGTTCAAATGTCGGTGTGGGCTAAATAAATCAACGGAAAGTCTTGGTTCTATTAAAAAAGTCAGTGAAGGTGATGAGCCAGATATAAAAGATAGGACTAAAAACATTCAAAGTTGGGGGAGTCATGATGATTCTAGTTACAGCAAGGTTAATCATTTATTCGTCATTAAAGACATTCGAAATTTCATCTCTGATGACATTTTTTTAGTTAAGGATAGTAATGGAGACAATTTTTTCATATATTTTGATATTGAAAATCAAATTTTTGAGATTGACAACAATCAAATTGTTCCAGAAAGTGAGATATTTTAAAAGTTGAATTCTTGTTAATTATTGCATGAACGTGGTGTCAATCAGATAAATAGTATAGCAAGAGCGAAACATAAAAAGTTCTAATGAATTATTCTTTGCCCTCTAGTCGGAGGAACCAATCAGTTACAAATCGCTGGTCGAGCAAGGATTTGGTTGACATTTTGAATTTTTTTTTTCAGCCTAGAGGGTCAATAACTTCATAACCATAAAACAACATGTACACCATGTAAGTACAAACTGAGGTAATGACCTACCGTGGCAAGCCACAGATGGCAGCAAAGCTAGCATATCAACACTTTGACAATTTGACATCAACTCTTTTTTGGCTGCAACATTTCATTATTCAATTTTTGAAGAATGAAGTAGTTAAAATAGAATCTACATGTATGATTTAGAAACCTCAAAGTTACTACCTTACTCTTGGCTTTATATTACTCTTGACTCTTTTTTTCCCCCTTTTTTTGGCCCTATATATCGAGAGGATTGGAGGAATCGTGCCGGGTTAAAACTGTTAAGTGTAATGACATTTAACCCCTTGAATTAGGGGCTGGTCACATTTTGCCCAGTAAATTTAATATATTAGCTGTTTATCCCACGACTTAATGATACTATGACAATATGCCATACATATCACTTTGTGCCCTTGAGTATGCCTAATGCATGGACTAATATTTCTTCCATGTGTTCCTCTTTTTTTTTTTCTCACTTTTACTCCATTCTAATATGATACCCCTTTTTCTGTTCTACTAATATTAATCTTAGACTTAAATTAGATACTTTATACGACCTTTAACTCATTTTTGTTTCCTTTCTAGTTGGTTCACATTGAATAATTATTTTTTAGGACTAAATTAATGATTAATATAGTGACTATATAAGTTTTTTGTTACCATTAATTGATACCGCTAGTATAGATTAACATTCTTGTTCTTGTTAGCCATTTTGTTGATGTAATAGAACCTAGTATAAATATGACTACTAAAGAATTTTGTCATGATGAATTAATTATTAACAATGACATATAAAACAAAAAAAAAGGGAGAGAATTAAAATCCATTGATAAGGTAAAATAAGTATAAAAGTTTATTAATAGTAATTGAGGAGAGATAAGTAAGGCATGACGAAATGGATTATAGAAAAAAATAAAAGTGCCTAGGTATATAGAATGGATTGACTTTTTATGCACTAATAATGTAGTAATTTTTCACACTAGCAATTTTGGATGAATGCCACGTGTATATGATTTGCATTTCAAATTTGAATTCATGTTATGTGGCAATGGTCTAAACCCGCTCATGTAAATAAATAAATAAATTATAAACCGATAGTATATAAAAAAGTTATGCATAAAGAATTTCACATGACGCAGGTAATGTTAAACTAATCTTTTTGGCTTTGTATGGATTATGAGTATTGTAATGGATAATTTTTTTTACTCGGTCAAATGGCATGACTGGATAAGAATAACTCAATCTTATATGGATAGTCGATTTTATGAGAATACAATATAGGATTCGCGTTTGGATAGTATGTTCTATCCTTGCAAGTATAAATTTTTTTTTACCACCGATTTTTTGACTATATCACATAATTCACCTAAATTTGCAACCTCACGCAACGAAAGTTGACTGTATGTGCATTTAATTTGCAGGGGCTAAATAGTTTTTCATTAAATTATATGAAACCAACATTAATACAGATTACATCACTTTCAATACAGAGAATTGGACACACTCTTGTGATGCAAGCATAGACCAATTAGGAAACGTACACACATGACAGAAACAAGTTGAACGCTTGCAATTTAAAATGAGGCTGACTACTTGGATTAACCTTATTCGCCTCACATATTTATTAATATACAATGGTCATAAATTCATTTACCCTCTCACCTTCGTCTCGCACTCCAATACGCATTCCACATTCCGTTTGCCAGTTCATCCCTCATTTCATGCCATTCATTGGCCTCTTCTTATGAGGCACTTAGGGGTTGAATTTCTGGCATTGGTGGGACCCCTCCTTCTCCCTCGATATCCATCTCTTGATCATGATAATTGAATATGTCATCATCTGGCAATTCATCCCGTATGAAATTGTGTAAAGTGCAGCAAGCTATCACCACATTTATCTGTGTACTCATATAAAAATTAGGTACAGGACCGCGTAGGATAGCGAATCTCCTATTAAGCACCACAAAGCATCTCTCAATTACATTTCTAAGTGATGAATGACGAGTATTGAAAAGTTGCTTCAGGGAGGAAAACCCACGTCGACCCTGTGCAGGTTGTCGAGGTGTTCCACGATAAGGTGCAAGGAATCCAGGAATATTTCTGTATGCTGAGTCCACAAGGTAGTATTTTCCTAGAAACACCAGAATGAAGGTCAAATATAAGTAAAAACACACTCGGTCTCTAGTCATATACTCACATACCACAGTTGCACAGAAGCAAAACAATTTGAAAAAGAATTGAGTGCTCCTGGAGGGAGCATCGAAAAATGTGTAGGTCCTGTTAGTGCTCCATCCAAGACGTGTGCATCATGGGCGCTTCCTTCCCAACCAGCATAAATATATGAAAAGCGCATATCAAAATCACAAATGGCTAGTACATTTTGAGTTGCTTGGCCATGCCTATTCATGTACGCCACTTGCTCTCCGGGTGAAGGATGTGCTGGAACATGTGTACCATCCATTGCACCTACAACATTCTATAGATTTTGAACCCAAAAGTTAGTTGCTTAGCGCATAAATCACAATTGGAACACAATCATTGGATTATGATGTAATATTTTTGGAAAAAAACCACAAGCAATACTATATATTACTAGTATAAATTTCTTCTATAAATACTATACCATAAACCACTGGGCGAATTTCCGACCGGTGTAAATCTTAGGATGAACCTCGTTCTACCGTCTTGGACGAATGAGAATTTTCCCAACTCACAAAGCCCCCGTAACACCTCGTGAATGTTCCTACATATGGTCTCCGAGGAATGTTGGAATCGCTCAGCAAGGCACCGCATTCAATGATTGTGACTTAACATAACTAATGTCATGCATAATACTTCCTCTACGAGGACTCTTTTTTGGGAATTTTGCGGGACATGTCTGTGAGAACCCGTAGAAACCCTAATCTTTTCCTAGGGTTTTAGTTTCCTTAATTGCATGTTTTCTGCATTTTCTGGCTTAGAAATATTTTCTTGGTGGATTTTATGAGCAATTATAGTTTTTAGATAATTTTTCTAGTATTGGAGAGTTTTTAGAAAATTAAGAATATATTATGGACGTGGGACCCACTAGTACGAAAAGTTCGGAAAAATTCGGCCAATAAGGTTAAGTTTCGGATACTGTGTAAAATTTATCGGGTGTTAAGAGATAAGTAGAGAGTGAGATTTGATTGATGTGAGAGAGAAAAGAAAGATAAGAATGCATTTATGGAAGTGCCACATGTCATCTTCTCATTGGTTGAACTTTAAGAAACACTATTCACATTTTTGACTTTTTTTGACCAAAGGATTAAATAAAAAAAAAAAGCCCAAAATTCACCATTTTTCTCTTTCTTGTGGCCGGCTCTCTCCTTGCAAAGAAGAAGGAAATTCCACCAACTTTCAAGCTTCCATAAGCTTCAATCTTCCATAAACAAAAGCTTAGACTAGATTTCACTCCATAAAATCCTATCTTCTAGTGCTAGTAAGGGTTGTAGTGAAGTTTGTTTGAAGCTCTAAGGTGGCCAACCTCTCTATATCTCTTGTTCTTAGGTAAGTGATGTTTTACTACTTCCTTATATCTAATGATGCTTATTTTATGCCTAATGGTGGCTATTGTGCTAGAAATTGTGGATTATTTCTTGGTTTGAAGTGATTTGGTTGAGTTTTTTATTTTTTGAGGAATTTTCTGGTTTCATATGATCTTGATGGTGTGGTTGTTTTTGATGGTTGGTAATAAGGGGCTTTGGCTCTAGTAGGTGCATATGATAGGAAAATGCAATCAATTTTGAATTTGGAAGAATTTCTGGAAAATTAGGGTTCTTGGTTGAACATTCTGTCCGAAATTTTAGGTCATAGATAGAGGCCGAATTGGACTTTGGTCAAAACATGAAAGTTGTAGGTATTGATGAGTTTGAAGTGCCTGCAAAATTTCAGGGCATTTGGAGTAGTGTAGAGTGAGTTATGCCGGTTTTACTGTTGCTGTTCTGGGTGAACAGAATGTGCGAACTGCGATAGTAATTGTCTATTTTGGCTGGAATTTCTTTGGATTTTGATGTTGGTGTCTTCTGATGAAATGTTACTGGATGTCTTAGCTATCATATGCCTTTGGAATTTCAGCATTTGGACTTGTATAGACTGAGTTATAGTAATTACAGTTTTATGTGATTTGCAAACCTGTTTTGGGAATTCTGGTATAGTATTTTGCATATTTGACCTAGTTGTGTTAGGAACTGGATTGAGTGACCTTCTACATTGTTGTAGCTCTGTTTCTTGGCTTCGAAACGGTGGGTCTTACACCCCCATCCGATAATCATAGTGAAATTGACGCCTTTACCGCAAAATAAAGGCAAAACAGTTTTTCTATTCGGGGCCAAGATTAATGCTATTTCTAATTTCTGGTTTGCTATCATGCTTATTTATGCATATGAGACCCTATTGGGGTTGTGTTCAGTATTGTTCTATGACTCGTTATCAAGTCTCCATGTATTTGTTTGCATGTTTTAGGGCTCGCTCTCATTCCGGTCATTTCCTAGCTAACTTTTGTACTTGTACTATTTTGATCCTAGTGAATGGCTTTTGGGAAATGAGATGACTTTTGTGTGGAATGTTGGGACTGAATTGAGGAAATAATGAAGCCTTAATGGCTGGAAAAGTAAGAATTTTAGGGGAGGTGCTGCCCGATTTTCTAGGCCGTTTGGTTCCTTTAAGTTGGATCTGCCTTTTGGATAGAAATAAAAAGGGCTTTTGGGTTTTTGGAACCTAGGTCTTTATGCTATCTTTTGTTTCCAAAAAAAATCATGTTTTTGCACCCTTGCATTTGTATTTATTTGGCAAGGCGTACGACGTGTAGTCGAGCCTCACTTGTGCATTCCGTTTACTCGATTTTGAATATGAAACCTTCAATTGGTTTATTTTGATTATTTTAGGGTTTCTTGGCGATTAAGGCCAATCTGAAGTGAAAACTTTTGAAGTTGAGCCTGTGAGTGTACCACTCCCCTCCATTGCTGTTTAACTTGATTTCTGCTCTGCAATCTGTTTATTTGTTCGAGACGAGAGTGTACTTTATCACACTCGTTCTCTAGTCTGTTCATATGCCAATTTACTATGCAAAAATTTGAATCTGTTATCTGTGTCTGCATCTGTTCGGATTCTATGACCTATGAGCTCAATCCTGTGGCTAAGTTATTCGAGTCGGGCCGGCAAGGGCCTGGACGATTAGATAACGAACCACGGTAGTCTGTTCGGGGATTTTTGGGTATTGAGACCCTTGATTCCGGTATACTCGAGTATTACCATTTTGTTCGTTTGAGGTGAGCGGGCCCGGTAAAGGGGTGTTTGGTGGACGGAATTCGTTGTTAAGAGGGGTCTACGGACGTTTTGGTTCTATATGCGTTGACGGAGAGTCAACCGGTTTAGATCAAGCACTGCACTGGAAATTTGGCTCCTGAGAGCCACCCGTATCCTTCTGATTTGAATCATTGGTTCTTTTGCTTTATATCTGGCATGTGTACTTGATTTGATTTGCTAAACGTGAAATGCCATGATTTTATTGCTATATGTTTGGTACCTCATTGAGCGCAAGCTCACCCCGTTCTGTTCATTTTGTTTTCCTTACAGGAAAAATAAATACTTTTGGACTGGATTTGATAATCGGTTGCCGACTTGAGCTAGTTGAACATATCTTTTGTATAGCTCATGTGTTAAAACCCTAAGTGTACTTTTGGGGCGTTTCTCTTTTGATTTGGCAAACCGTGTATATGTATTATCTTTTGAAAGCTTTTGTATGTCATTTTGATTTGTAAACGTTAAAGATCAGATGTAAATGTTTGTTAGCTATTTCGATTGGGTTCTGACGGGTCGGTTACTATTCATGGCCGGCTCCGGATTTCATTTCATTTCATCTTGGGTTGTTTTACTATTTTGATTTGTTTACGCGAGTTTGTAAGTTTCGGATTGAAGCGGATAGCTCTAATCTGATCCGTAGTCCTGGCGAGAGTTGGGCAGGCAGTCCGCTAACCCCTTTGGTTCGCCTTAGGGGAAAGTGGGGCTGTTACAATGTCCCCCACTCACAAGAATGTCACATAGGCGCATGAAAGAATCCATTGTTATTCTACAGTTCTCAAGTACTCTTGCAGGATGACCATGAATAACTTCTTGCACATAATCTCTGCTAGTTAGCATGCTATTTTGGCATGGTAGAGGCAATATATATCTGGCAAGCCGTTCAGCCACAGGGTTGAATAGAATAACGATTGCCCATGGATAAGTTGCTAGTCCTTGTCTTCGTTATCATCATAATTCGATGATGATCCCAAGTATTCCATCTGCCATCCATGTTCCTAATTTGGCCGTGAATCAAACCTGGTGTACAATTCATTAAAGAAGCTCTGGCTAATTTGTTGCAAAATGACTAAAAAGTATTTTTTTAATCAAATACATCGCTTGGGAAACGTAGAAATGATTTTAGATGTATCTAATGTATAATACCAAACATAATCCGCTTAAAAAAATTTGAAAATCATCAACAACCAACAATAGTATCCAACATTAATTTAAGAAACCGACTAGGTAGTAATTAAGTATATGCATATACACATATATATCTCCAAATTTTCCAGGTTTGTAACTCTCATGCAATAAATAATTTGAACTACAATTACATATATATATATATATATATATATATATAAGTATGAATACGGACCATGACCACTTCACCTTAATTTTAAAATTGCCCAACACCAGAGATATGGCTCTGATAAGTTATAAATTAGCAATACTGGGGTATGGAAGTAGATACTGAGAGGCTTGGTCGCCGTAGACGAAGCAGGATTCCTATAGCAGCTTTTCTTACTGGGTTTGTGAATTTAGTAGCAACTATGAAAACATAGTAGAAACTGCTATAAAATTTAGCTTTATATAAATTAGACTGGAAACATGTTTTGTAACTATTTGATGCTATCGACACTACACATAGTGCACACTTTGAATCATTATGACGGGCTGGATAAAAAAAGTTACTGCCAAATAGTGCATCGCGTGTTGGTAGCTTGTTACTGATTGATAGATCTTTACTATTACTCAGACAACTTAGTGGAAAAAGCCAATAGTGAGCAGAATCCTACTGGGGCCATAATTAATGTTAAAGGCCATCTGAGCTCCTGTGAAGATCCAAAGACCCATGTGCATTTCCTGCAAATAAGCTATTGAGCGACTTATGTGGGACCATCTGCATCCCAAAGTTTCAAAAAAATCCAGCAAACTGTTTAATTCAAGTGCAAACTTGCAAACTTGTCCGTATTGAAAAGCTACTCAATTCCATATTTAGCCCCTTTGGCTGCAAGACAAATTGTGGGCCAGGAGTTATTAAAAAAATGATATGGACATAAGCAGGGGCAAACTGAATTTGTGTGCCATCCGTGGGTTTCAGACTATAGAGTTTACACAAGTTTCAAATTCCTGCTTTTAGGCACAAGTTTACAT